CCCCCCCCCAGTCTGTCTTCCACCCAGCTGTCAGAGCAATCCTTTGAAAATGTAAGTCAAATCATATCACTTTCCTGCTTATGCCCACCAATGGCTTCCATGACTTACATGATCCTTCCCTCCCCACCTCACTCTCCCACCCCACCTACCTCTCTGAGCTCAATTCCTACTCCTGAGCTTATTTGGCTCCAGACACATTGGCCTCCTCCCTGTTCCTTAAACACACATCGGAGACTTTGCACTTGGTGTGCTCTCTCCTTGAAACTCTTCTACTCTCCCTTCAAATGGCTCACTCTGTGGCCTCCCTGCTTAAAAGAGGGCTCCCGGATATTCTACATCCTGACACCTCCTTTTGCCTTCAGAGCATGCATCATGTTCTTCATTTGTTTCCCAGGCTATAAGTTCCACGACGGCAGGGACAATATCTACCCTCTTCCGTAGTTAACTCCCTGCACACATAGGGCTAAACAGGTGTTTATTGAGTACCCATACTGCACCATGGTGTGACTGTTTGTGTACGTGTTTGTCTGTCCCACTGATCTGTGAGACCCTCACGGGCTGCCTACTCAATATCATATTAAGTATCTATTTGTGATTGTCCATCTCTCCCCATTAGAATGGAAGCTCCATGAGGAAGGCAGGAATTTTTGTTTATTGCTGTATCCTCTGTGCCTGGCAAAGAACAGTGCCTGGCAAATAGGAGATGCTCAATAAACATTTATTGAATGTTGAAAATGCAGGATGTGGTCAGATCATCTCTGTCCATAGCACCCACTCAAACCCAATCCCAGGGAACTGTCAGTGAATATCGGCTGAATGAATGGGTCTGTGCTAAGAATGTGTGCACTGACGATACTCAGGTTCTTCAGGGTTGGACAAGGAGTTTGTGTGAATCTTATCTGTGTCTCACTCACACAAACCTCGCTTGAGAACCTAGGCCCACAGGAAAGAATTCTTACCTGGAACTGATTACTCACAGCCATCTGGTGGTCACCTGGGGAACTTCAGATATTGTCAGTCCTGGTCAAGTATCACTTCTGGGGAGACCGTGATGTTAGGCTAGAATGGGAAGGCACACTGGACTTGGTTAGATAGCCTTGGCTTCAGATCCCAGCTCTGTCATTTACTGTGTGATTTGGAGCAGGACTTTCTGCTTCTCTGGGCTTCGCCTATGAAATTGGGATACAGGGTTGTTGTAAGCACTGGGCTCTGGCTTGGCACCTGGTAGGTGGGAAAGATTGGAGAGGGTATTGACGGTGGGGAGAAGCAAGGAGGTAGGGTACAGAGCCTGAGGGGGAGAGAGAAGGAAGGGCTGCCTCTTCCTCTAGACAGCAGATATTTGAAGACCAGAGACCTGGTTGGCAGGGATGGCCTCAATTGTCCTGTTGGCATGGGGTGGTTTTGGAGCATGAGAGTGTGTGGGTGAAAATCCATAGGCTCACTTGAGTCTCTTGGATATTAGGGTTAGAGCTATCACTGCACTCTTTTCCTCCCTGGCCACCTGAGGATCGACCTCTACCATGAATGACACAGTAACTCTCTGGATCAGGAACTACTGGCCAACCAATTACTTCGGTGGAAACATGGTCATCCATGTCCTCCCCCTGGGAAGGCAACAGTACCTAAGACAGAAATTTGGGACAAACTAGCCAAAATATACAAGACCACACCAGATTTCATCTTTATATTTGGAGTCAGAATCCATTTTGGTGGTGGTAAAACAACTGGCTTTGACATAATCTGTTATTCCTTGGATTATGTAAAGAAAAATAAACCCAAACACAAGCTTGCAAGACATGGCCTGCGGAAGAAAAAGACAGCGAATGGAACTCAAGAACAGAACGAAGAGAGTCAGGGCTACGGGAAAGGCCAATGTTGGTGCAAAAAGGAGTAAAGATTCTGCAATGACTTTATATGTGGTGATTGTGCAGATTTTTCATGAGATAATTAGTAAACTGAAAAATTTCTTAAAAGATCACTGCCACTCAGAATACCAGAAAATACTCTGTTATACACCCCTTTCATGCCAGCCTCCCATCAGCTTTCACTCTTCTCTGAGACAAGCTGGACAGCTCTTGGGACCCAGCTCTGATGGGGGAGAAAGTAGATACCTGAGTTCTGGGGTACCGATGCCCCTATATTTTCTCTCTTTGGCACCCCCACCTTCCTTGACACCGTGGATATTGCTACTCTCTGTTTTCCTTCTCTTTCTCTAGATGCTGCTTTTTAGTTTAATTATCCAGTCAACAAATATCTGTCAACATCTACTACAGGCCGGGGGCTGGGAGAGTGCTAATCTAGGGTAGAGGACAGGAAAGCCTGCTTGGAAGGAATTGACTTGGGTGCAGAGACTGTAATGAAGTGAAAGGGTCTAGGTAGTGGGAACAGCCAGTGCAAAGGCCCAGGAACAGGAACACTTGCATCCATAGGCTATGCCCTTAATGGTGGGGTTCCCTGAGGCTCCTCACTCTCTGCTCCCCCCAGGTGATGTCATCTACCCCTAGAACCTCAGTCACTACCTGCATACCTATGCCTCCTGGGTGCCTTCCTCCTGCCAGATATACTGTTGGTAGCCCACACAGCCACCGCTAACAACGTGCCAGGCCCTTCCCAACAATCCTATGAGGTAGATACTAACATTATCCATATCTTTTTTATGAGAAAACAGGCAAAAAGAGTCTAACAGCTCACCCAAAGTCACACAGCTAGGAAATGGAGGAACTGGGGTTTGAATCCAGTCTACACTCCTGACCACCTCTACCTGCGAAGCACCCTGAAGTCACGGTATCCAACCTGAGGTGCATTATCTTTCCTAGCCCAGCCTTCTCCTCTTCCCATGTACCCTGCCACTGGCCTGTCACTTCCTTTCTCCTTGCTCACACAAACTGTGGGAACTGCAGTGGTGCTGTGTTGAGGGAGAAGTTTGGTGGGGCCTGGGATCTGGGCCCTTCTGGTTTCCCAAAGTCCTAACCTGATCCCTTCCCCCTCCCCCATTCCACAGGGCCTGGATGATTTCAATGATCAAAGCTAGAGAGAGGGAGGAGAGCAGCCAGCTCCTCTCCCCTAGGACTGGCCTTATTTGTCCCATCTGGAGAAATCTAGGACTAAGAACAGACAGGGTTGGGGAAGATAGAGCTCCTTCTCCATGCCCTACCTGCCAGGATGCCTGAGACAGGAGGTTGAGAGGGGCCTGCCCTGGGACTGAGCTGCCAGGTTTTCTGCTTCCAAGTTCTTCCTCGCTTCCCCTCTCCAGCTGCTTCGGGGAAGTGCCCCCCACCCTTTTCCCCACATATACAACATGCTGCTAGCTTTCTAGATTCTTGAATAAATAATTCAGCTTTTGAAATCTTGCCTAGATCAACCCTCCTGTGCTGTGAGGGTGCTATTGAGCTGACATAAGTGAGGTCACCCAGCTTCTTATCCCAGCCTCAGCATCATAAGACCTCCCCTGGAAGCAGTTTACCTGCCTGATCACTGTCAATCCTGACCCTCTACCCTGTCCCACCCACCCCGGAGCCCACTCACTATAGTCACCTGCTATCTTCATTCAATCCCACAACCCTCATCACTTAAGTAACTTTGTCACCTCAGTACCTCAGGGTCATGGTGACCTGAAGTCCCATCACCTGCACACTCCGTCTTCCCTTGCCACTGCCTCTGCCACCCTGGGATCTCTGAACCCCATCATGCCACAGAGTCACCCTCACACTGGTATGGTTGCCCTGGAGGCTTCCCTCTCTACATCAGCATCCCTCAGCCACCATCCCCCAAGATTCTGTCACCATGCTCTTACCGTCACTGCCACCCACCTCCCTCGTGCTCCTGTCACCATCACCTAATGGCCTCTGTCATCCTCACTAGGGAGGCCCATTCAGCCCCATCCACTGGGTCTCTGTCACCTGAATTTCATCAGCCTATCTCTGCTACCCGAGAGTCCCATCACCCCACAGCCTATCCCGGTCTCCTTTCCGCTGCCCCCTCCCCCCCGCAGCCTCTCTCAGACTTTTCTAAGGCTCTCCCACCTGCGCCCCGAAAACCCCCCGCCCGCAGAGGGTGCGGGGTCAAGGACAGCTCGGGCCGAATCGGGAGGGGCGGGGCCGCGGCCGTGGCCACGGTCGCTTTTTATGAATGGGGGAGCGGGCGGTGCGAAGCCTTATTACTATGCCG